AAAGCTACAGAACTTGCTAAAAACTGTGAGCTGTGCTGAAGTAAATGAGAGAGAAGTTTAAATACATTCTGAGAGTGAAACTCCTTCCTAAAGATGAAGATATGTCAGATTTAAAAAGAAAATAAAAATGGAAGTAAAGGAAATAGCGCCCCCTTCACTTCCGGAGTGCAATGGTCCCATTTCCAAATAAGGTATGAGACTGACAGTGGTCCGTCCCGCCCCTTCCTGTTCGCTGCAGGGTCATTCTCCCTTTAAGGAGAAGGACCTTGCTTATCCCTTTTGCTTAAATGTTCGGTCAGACTCGGGGCCGGCTCGTTTTCCAGCAGCAGCTAGCTGGACGAAGTGCCAGGGGGCGTGGGAGGAGTCAAACCCTGAAACGGATTCAAGATCAGGATCTGAAAACAGCAAAGAAGCGGAGAAACGACTCCACCAGCCTCTCCTTGTGCTGTTCAATTTTCAGACGGTTTTTGGAAACTTTGCATCTTATTTCAACTTTTAAAATACTTTTCTTTCAATTTGTTATTTTCTCTGCAGGATTTTTTGGTTGTATTTTTTTTCTGGAAGCTTTTCGTTGTTTTTCTGCGTCTGTTTTGCACCTTTTTAAACTTTGCAGTCACTTCGTTGTTTTCTGTTTGTCTGGAGTTGAAGTGAAAACCTTCAGTCCGGTTTCGGTTCTCACTGCAGAATCATGAGGATTTTCCCTGGTTCTGGTTCTGAATCATTAAGTAGCCGCTCTGCTGATGGTGGTACATTCAGGAGCTCCTGACAGCCTCTGAATTCTGAGCATCCAGATCAGCAGGAAACAGGAAAGATTCCTGTTGGCTGTTAAAGTCAGAGACTGGAAGCACAGATGGACTCTGGGAAGAGCCAGCGCTCCCAGAGGATTGTGGGTAAGATGCTGCTGGCGTGGTTTGCTGCTCACACACACGCGGATGCAGAGTGTGTGTCCATGCATGCAAACACACACTCTGCTGGCATCAGAGCTCGCTGTGACACCTGAGGTCAGCCTCCTGATGTGAGCGTGTGTGACGTGAGAGCAGAGAGGAGACGCGAGGAAGAGGAGGAAGAGGAGAGACGGGAATAAACCGGACAAACAGGACGGCGGCTCAGGAGAGGAAAACAGTTCCTCCTGATTCAACTCTGAACTGATTTAAGATCCTTTTATTAAATCCACCAGGAGATAAAACTTTTTTAAAACGGAAGATTTCTGTTTCAGGAAGAAACTTTTCTCTTAGAAAATGTTGGAGGAAACCTTTGACTTTGATGAGAATAGAAAAGCTGTAGTTTTAATTCACTTTATTCATTTTCAAACATTTTCTCTCCGTCGTGGAAAAAGTTTAAAATTTTAACAGAACATCAGTGGAAATGTAGAAAAAAATTAAACCATTTCTCTTATGAACAGCAGCAGCTTTTAGGCTGCAGCTGTGATGAACCCGATCCATCAGAACCGGGTCACAGGAAGCCGGACTTTACCCGACCCGGTCATCACTCTGATCCGTTTCCTGTTTTTCCATAATCCCAGTTTAACTTTGAGGATTTTTCCAGATTTGCTCCGGAGAACCAGAACCAAAAAGGGCTCATCTGATCAGGAATCGCTTGTGCGTCAGATTTACGGTCCCACCAGAAACACAGCAATACAAAGGTTCCTGCTGGAACTTTTGTTTGTTAAAAATGTTTTGATTCATTTCATTTTTTAAAATTAATTAACTGAAATTAATGCGTTGATGTTCGGCTCTACTTAGTGATTAAAAGAAGAAAAACTTTAATCCCTTGAATCACGGACAGAACCAGATCCAGCAGGTCCAGTCTGAGCTTCCTCCATCATCATCGTCATCCTCCCTCTCTCTGTCTGCTGCTATGGAATCGTCTTCAGATATTAATCCGAGCGGTTCTGTGTAAATCCTGGATTTAGACAGAACCGTGTTGTTCTGGTTGTTGCAGTTCCCAGAGGTACCAGATTTGAACCCATCAGGGTCAGTAGAGCCTGCAGCAGCGCCCCCATCAGGTGGTGCAGAGTCTTTACAAACGGGCCAGACGTTCTGCAGAACCGGGCCACATGTGGCTTTATGTGCTGCGGCTCAGTTCTGGTTCTCGGTCTGGTTTGGTCAGCTGTTTTATTCCATTTTCAGAATATTTTTATTTAACTGAGTTTGAGTTTTATTTTAATTATAATGATAAATCTCAGCTTCAGTTTTGGTTGGTTTTATGGAGCTTAATTTTATGGTGAATAGTTTTTTACTTTATCAGTCTATTCATTCATTGACTATTTTTATATGCAGATTTATTTTTGCTAAATCTCATATTTCAGTTATTTATATTTTTATAAATTATTGTAATTTTTTTTATTGTTATTACATTTTAAATGTTTAAGTTTAGTTATTTTTTTCCTTCTGATTCTGGGATTCTTATATTATTCTGGTTAACCGTTTTGGTCTTATTTTTTTTGCATGTTTAGTTTTTATATTTTGCGTGGAGTTTTTCCTCTAACCTAATTCTCCTGATGGCACTGCTGTTTATCTGAGGCGGTATCGGTCTGGTCTATCTCCTGCAGTCTCTCAGATCAGCTGATTCTCTGAAGGTTATCGAGTCCTCTGCCGTCACTTCGTCTGCGGAGGATTTCCACCGGGAGGGGCCCGCGGTGCCTTCAGGGACCCTGTCTGAGTCAGACACTCGATGATACGCTGCTGCGTTTTCTGGCCCTGAAGCCCGACCCAAACTGAACCCTGAAACCAGATCCAAACCCAGAAGGTTTTGGACTGACGGCTAGAACAGTCCGAGGACAGAAAGCTGGACATTTTAAGGAGTCAGACGTCGGCGCCCCATGTTGAGTCATTTCCGTTAAAACCTGCTGCCTGTGGCAGGAATGATGGAGGAGTCGGCGCCGCCTGCAGATCTGCAGCTCGTTAGTCATTATTTTTAAAGCTGTGAATTGAAGAAGTAGAACGACCCAGTTTCAGATGAGCTGCATTTTGGCCCCAAGCGATCAGGAACGACAAACCATCTGCAGAACGGACGCCCAGCTGCAGGCGGGCAGAACGGAGGCATGTTGCCACTCTGCTCTGCACAACATGATGCAGTAAAACTGGCTTTGCTGCTTCGCTGAAGGTTTCTACTCAACCCAGAAAATCCCTGTTCTGTCTCTACCTGAAGTGAACATTGAACACCAACATGAACCAGGAACCTTGAACCTGCCCCGTTACGGACCTGAGAACTAAAAGACCCGATGAAAAAAAAAGATTTAGATCAAAAATCTGTTCAGGTGTCACTAGCAGCTGTCTGGGTCGGTTCTGAACATCTGGTTCAGTTAAGGATCTCTGAAGAAATCTACAGAGATCCTTGAATGAGACGTTATCTGAGTCTGATGCTGACTGGTTGGAATGAAATGGATTGAATGGGATTGGGGACGATGTTTGCTGAAGGACAGATGCATTTAGATCTTGTCAGAACCAGTGAGCCCATGTAGATCCAGTTAGATTCTGTAAGAAACAACTGAAAAAAGCTCCAGTAAAACCTAAAACTCAGCAGAACATTCTGCTAGTGGCCTGGTCTGACCCAGTTCAGCTCCATCTGCTTTCAACCCGGTTTGCTTCTGATCGTTGGGACAAAACTATTGGTTCTGTTCAGGTCGATAAACACCCGTTAAGGAGGTGAAATATTTCCCATCAGGCCTTGCTCCTCTGTCCCAGCTGATAATCTCCAGGTGACCCGACACACAGCTGTTTGTTCGCTTGTCTGACGGAGGAACCTGGTTGGACTTTATCAGCGGACAGCAGCCGTCTGATCGCTGTCCCTGATCCTCACAGGCCGTTTGCCCGTCGCCGCCATGTTTTCAGCTCGTTTCTGAGCAAATTCAGAGTAAAACGGGTTTGAGCTGAGGCTCCAAATCAGCAGCTGGTCAACAAATCTAATGAGTCAGAACCAGAACATCAAGACCCTGAAAGATCAGTGGCCAGTTTGCTGAACTGGTTTTCTGGAAGCACCAGGATCCTCTGACCTGCTGTCCTTTCACATGTTTAATTATTCAGCGTTTCCAGCAGTGAGCTTCTCCCCAGACTCACTTATTGACTTCATGGATCGTCCCATCAGATGTTTGAAATATGGATCCATTAAATCCAGTTCAGAGGTTTGAGGCTCGACAGAGAAAAAGATTTTAAAGACAGATTTCTCTGGAGGCGGAGTCTGCCGACATATTGACAGGAATACATCCAGCTGATGGAAATTAAACTGATGTGAGTTCAGGACAAACGACACGCAGAAAGACGAGCTGTGATCGGCCATCCATCCAGTTCGCAGCTTTAATTGGCTTAAACTCGTCTTCGTCTGTCATGATGTCACAGATTTTATTTCACCAGGGAGCCAATCACAGGGGCTCAGAGACTCATCTTCATCCTCTTTGTGTCCGCAGGCTAAGGACAGCGATGATGATGAAGAGGTGGTGCAAGTCGACAGGGACCACTTCATGGACGAGTTCTTTGAACAGGTGAGACCCAGAAACACGGACAGGAGCATCACCAAGGCAACCAGCTGCAGCCCAACACTGAGAAAAGGTTCAGGTAACAATAACTCTTTGTAGAGGTCAGGTTGGGCCAGCATTATGCTAAGCTAACACCACAAAAACATTAGGATAGTTTCCGAATGAAAGTGAGATAATTTTCAGATAAAATTACATTAACATCAAATAATCCTGCTATTCAGATAAAGTGGTTTGATTCCAATAACTCTGGATAAACTAGGATACTGCTGGAATGATGTTAAACTATTTCAGCCTTGGGATGACGTGGGAATCATTTTATCACTAACAATACCTCCAGCACCGGTCAAACAGAAGAAATGGACTTTTCTCACTCCAGATGTAATTCATGTTAAGGAAGCTGTCCGTCCCGTTCAGGTGGAGGAGATCCGAGGCTGCATAGAGAAGCTGTCCGAGGACGTGGAGCAGGTGAAGAAGCAGCACAGCGCCATCCTGGCCGCGCCGAACCCTGACGAAAGTAAGCCGCCCTCTTCCCTCTGCTAACATCTGCACGTCCACAGAGTTCTGGTCGGGTCCAGCGTGGAATAACACAGCTGGGCACGGTTCTGCAGAACCGGGCTCAGACGGTGCGAAAGGAGGGTCACATGGCCGCCGGATGACCCTTGGGCTTTGAGTCCGGACCACCAAGCCGACCCGTTTTCGCTGTCGGCTGCAGCTCAGCCTCGGGTCCAGAATGTCCGACAAGCTGCAGATTTTATTCCCGGATGTTTCCCGCAGCAGGAAGTCTGTGACGCAGACACTCGGCGTTCCCGTTCCTCCAGCTGAGTCGGAAAAATCCCAAACATCCATCAGACATGAACCAGATTTCAGCTCCAACGTGGCGATTCCCAAAGAGCTGCCGGTTCCTTAGTGAGTGGAGCAGGGATGGATCTCCGCTTCGCTCCGTTGATGTTTGGGTTCAGTGGCCCGGTTTCTCCTGATTCCATCGATCCGATCAGCAGAAACCAATCGCTGTAAATCCTGCTGGGCCACAGATCCGTGTTATAGTAACTTAGTTCTTCGTGACAAAGGTCCGAATGATCCCATCCAGGTCAGCAGAGTCCTGTTGCGTTATTCCCGATCTTTCCCTTTTCCTGATCCATCGGTCCGGTTCGCAGGTAAACATTCCCGATCCGGTGATGTCAGAACTTATTCAGCTTCCTGATTGGCTCCTGGGTGAGCTTTGGGAGCGTCCTGTCACATTTCATCCCTCCGTCCTGTGCTGCTAACCTCAGACCCGAAGCAGGACTGGTTCTGGTTCCGACAGGTATCCGGCTCCAGAAGGTTTTAAACACCTGCAGCCTGGTTCTGGGACCAGACAGAGACCATCTCAGGTCGTAAACACAGACGGAAGGTTCTGTGTTTAGTTCGTACTGAAAGCCTCATCCCGTTAAACCGGTCCTGAGCTCCCAGCACCGTGTCCGACCCGGTCCGACCCGGCCGGCTCTGACTCAGCAGCCCGGTCCACAGCAAACGGCTCGATGTTCAGACTGAGTCCGGTTCTGGACCTTTCTGGGTCGGTCGGAGCCAGAAACCCGACATGTTAAGAGAAAACTGTCCTGATGAGTTTGGTGTTTTCCTCCTGCATGTTTTCTTCATGTGATTTAGTTTCTTCTGCATGATAAATGACGTTCTGTTTGTTTTCCATCTGTTCCGTGTTTTTTTCTTCCCGTCTGCATGATCCTGCTTTTTAAACTGCATGACGTGACATTAAGCTCGGAGGAGACATCCAGGTTGGCCTCATGTGAGTAACGACCTTTAGCTCTGCATTGGTTCATGTTGGGAGTTTTAATTATAGTTGGAGGAAAGTTTCTACTGAGGCTGGAAACCCGGGAGGCCATCAGCGGCTTCATATCGACTGAATAATCAGTCTGAAGGACAAAGTTTAAAGAAAGAAAAACATTTCATCAATACTGCGAATGACATCAAGATCTATCTCCAATAACAAAACCTGTGGTTGGCACACTAATGCAGCTAACATTTAGCTTAGCACGTTAGCATTTTTGCTTACCCTAAAAATATTTAGCGTACTAAGCTTTCGCTAAATGAATTCGTCTGGATAAATTATAAATCGTCAATTTTCTTAGCTGTTTTGTGAACTTTAATTTGAAAAATATTTGAAATCTGTATTGAGTATTTGATAATCGCTTTAAGAATTATAATGTGGGGAGACATCACTAGCTAACGTTAGCTGCACTAACTCCTAACCACTAATCATAAACATTAGCACAGCTAATGCTAAAGCGTTACACCAACATGACATTTACGGGAAGCTAATGCTACAGCACCAACTCCACTTCAAAATGTGTCTGCTCTTGAAAGACTCCAGCACCAGTTTAACGTTGAGATATAAATGAAATGACCTCTGACCTCTGTCAGCTCTTAGCCTCATTTATGTCACTGTAAACATATTTAATAAATGTAGAGACTTGATGTATTTTAGAAAAACCCCCTTGGTGAGTTCAGAGTGACAGTTGTAGCTTCTGACCAGAACGTGAATCGCTGCACCATCCCTCAGATCCAGAATGTCAATGTGTAAAAAGCCTGACTATAATTCAAAACTGCTGCAGAATAATCTCAGAAATATTTTGAGTATTTATTCAGCGAGGAAAAAACCGACTGTAAAAATGTTTTTCGGTTTAAGAAAACTGAAACATGAAATTTGTCATAATGTTTGATTTCAACCCAACATTTCTGATGACGTGAACAAAAACATTCCTGGTCTTTGTTCAGTGGTATTCCCATCCTGGAAGCGTTTTACTAGCTTTGGGAAGTTAGCGCACAGACTTTGATCTGGGTGATAAAAACCCAAAGTGAGACATCAGTCGACGTTTATCGGAGTGGACGTTCCTCCTCGCGGTGAAAACTCGTCTCTTCGCTCTTCCCTCTCCTGCTTCCTGCTCCGTTCTGGGTCAGCTCGCTCAGCTGCCAACAAGTCGTGTTTCAGCCTGAATAATGCATGATGGGAGTTGTAGTGAGAGATACAGATGTAAACCGCAGCCGTTCAGGATCCCAAGATCTCATTTTAGTTCATCCTGTTCTCTGTATCCGTTCGGTCGGTTTAATTATAGCTGCTGGCTTCACTCAATCACATCAACTAAATCTGAGTTCAAGTTAAAAAATGTAAACATTTTTAAAGGCTCAGCTTCCTTCAGCCTTTCAGAGCATAAACAGACACTTTGTGTCCAGAGCAAAATCCCCAAAAATAAGATCTTCATAAAACAAACATTTTTATTTCATGTTATTTGAGTCTGGATTTAAAAGCTAGTCAGTTCATTTTTAAACAAACAGTCACTAAAATCCAATGTATGTAAATGAAATGAAAATTGCTCACTGAAAAGCAACAATGAAATAATTACGTTTCTAAAACTTGTATTAATTTAGAATTTTACTAAATTAATTAAGTCAAAATGTTAAAATTCATTTAATGGAAAAATACAGTTGTAACATTATTCTAAATATATTCATCAATATTTTAAAACAAAGTGTAAATAAAACATAAATTATGGGAAAGTTATTTTTAATGTGTAGATCAACATCAGTTCTTGACTGTTTTTAAATTCAGTTCAGCTGCGTTAAAATGATTCATTCATGTTCACAGCTGAAGTATAAACTAGTTCTCATTCATGCAACGTATTTTGTCTGAACGACGTTTTAAAACTCACTTGCTATCGGTTGTCATTGATCAGCGTTAAAAACTCACCATCTGTTTTCTTTGGTATATTTTATAATGATCAACTGAACAACTTGGTGGTTTTGTCATTAAACTGGAACTGCCTGAACAGAAGTACTTTTAGGATACGTTTGCAAATACGGTAATTTTTAACCCGCAGACCAGACGGGACATGGCAACCTGTTCCCCCCCTGGCCTGTGGGGGCGCTGCACAAAACCCGACACAAAAACCTCTGAAGACACTGAGAGCAACTTCCTCCTTCACCAAATGGAAGCTAAATGGAGGCGTCAGATTTTAGTGGTTGGAGGATTTCTCTTTAAGCTAAAGACCAGGAGCCATTTCTCCTGACAGCGCTAGGCTAGCACGTTAGCTTTGGCTATATTTACCCAGAATGCCCTGCGATGTAGTCCACTTCCTGCTTTTGATTTGAGTATGCATTTGAACAGCACTAGAGTTGATTTCAACTGAACGCAGACTGAAGTTTGTGGGCCGACCAGAATTTTAAGTCGATCAGATTCAGATAAAAATTTTCAATATTTAATGATTTTGAATGTCAAAATAAATTTTTATATGCAAAAATAAAATAAACTAAGATATGAAACAATTTTCTAGCAATTTAACTAAAAAGTTCTGAATTTTACAAATTAAAGTAAGGAGATTGAAGGATCCAAGATAAGTTAAATGTAAGAGAATATAAACACCTGGAGGTTAAATAAAAGCTAGAAGCAGAGACAGAATGTTTGGTGTTATTGATGAGAGCCGCTGCTGATTGATCATTAGTGTATTGATGAGTGTTAACTGCATTTCTGATGACTCACCTGCTGATTGATGGGAAAATAAAAGTCTGACAGCAGGTTTGCTCATCAATCCGCTTCATTAATGCTAATCGGTTAACGACCAGCCAATTGAAATGCTCTGATGGCGGTTTGAGGCGTCACAAAGCTGGTTTTCTGCCAGAGTTTGGTTTCTCTTTGACGGTCACTGACAGAAATGTTCATCAAAAGGCTGATGGGTTTAATAATTAGTCTAAAGCTCAGAAACAGAAACAGCTAATCAGATTCAGTCTCTGCTGCATTTTTAACGCCAGATTAATTCCTGGGCGCCCTCGCAGGACGTTTATCCAGGCAGACGTTAGTGGGTCGAGCGCAGCGGCAGCCTGCAGTCCGCGCTGCAGCTACGCCCCGCTGGGTCTCCGAGCCGCAGCCGAGCGACGCGGCCAGACGAGGAGCAGGGTGAGTCAGAGGTAGAGCGGCTGAAAGGCACTGCAGCGCTCGTAAATCTGACTGCACTGCTGCAGCCTCCGCTCACCGGCGCCACCTTCCAACATGGCTGACACGATGGGAGGATGCTGCTCCTCCTCCGCGACCTTTAACCTCCCAACAGCTTCATGGAGAAACCATGTCTGAGTTTTATTCTGCAGGTCCAAATGCACAAGAAATGCTCACAAACCGAGATGTGTCTACTGCTGCTCGTTAATCACTAAACTAACTGACGTTTCTGTGGAAAAAAATACGATTTTAAATCTTTTCAAATGAATTTAATCAGTCAGGACAGGTTCCTAGTTGTTCTTAAAACTACTCACTATAAATCATTTCTCAAATGAAATACGGATTTCACCGTGAAAATGTTGGAGATCTTTGTGCCACGATCTCATCTCTTTTTTCCTGCTTTTCTCTGCAGAGACCAAGCAGGAGCTGGAGGACCTCACAGCTGACATCAAGAAGACAGCCAATAAAGTTCGCTCAAAATTAAAAGGTACGAGCAGAAAACATTTGATAATCGCTGGAACTGAACAATGATCAGCTGCTCGTCTCATCAGGATATTTTTGTTTCAATCTTAATTTGGGTTGAACAGATCTTCCTCTGAATCTGAATGAATTAATTCATCTTCCAAAGTGGTTACAGTCCAGGAAGCTGGGCTGTAACTTAACACTCCAGCTTCTTCACTCCTTTATGCACCAAAGTTGGAATCATTGTTTGTAATTTTAGCATCATTTACAGACTTTACAGGCGAGTGGAACACGAAGTTAGCCTTTTACACTGCAGTACTGAAACACAGACTGCCATCATCTACTGGAGCTCTAATTCATGACAGACTGGATTGTTTTTCAGGCAGCATGCATTCTAATAATCCAAAGGCAATAATAGAAATGTGTGAAATAAATAAAGCTAAACCAAATACCATAAAGTGTTTCCAAGTTGCTGCAGCAGTTGTTGCTAAGCGCACTTGATATTATTGCAAATACAACGCAAGTCCCTCACCAGCTGTGCTAAATGAGCCGCAACTAATGCCCCAAACATGACTTATAATTTCAGAATTTTTAGAGTTTGTATCAGTTCAAGCATGAGGAAACGTCGTCTGCAGACTGCAGCGTGTTGGAGCCCGTTTTACATGTTTAGTGAGATGAGAGTCGGGCTGCATCAGCCTCCTGCCACACCGCAGGACGAGTTCAGC